CACCTCCCTTTCCTTGGCTGAAAAACAAAGGTTATGGAACTGGGATGTGTTTTTCAGCCCCGAAATTCAATGGTTTCTGACGATCAGAAAGGGCAGTGGGAAAATTATCTGACCAGAGGAAGAAATGAGACATACTATTAATATTAGTCCTGAGAGGAGCCGAGTGTGTGACTGGCACCCACCTAGGCACTATCGAGGTCACCTGGAGAGGAGAACACCTAGGCCCTGCCCACCTTAGGATGTTTCAGAACTTGCAATGCAGTTGTGAAACTAAATACTGACATGAGAAGTAATTAGAGAATGTAACAAAACATTTCCTGGCCAGAGGAGGAAAGGAGAGCACTTTGGGATATTTAACCTGAGGAAGAGAACATTTAGGAGAACCTCACCTCTTGTGAGGTTCCAGGGACCAGAGCTAGGGGCCCCTGGGTAGAACCTTCCAGTGGGCAAAGTTCAGCTTTATATAAGGAAGAGTGTGTCAACAGTCAGAGTTCAATCCTTTCAACAAAAAGTTGAGTACCTCAACACAAGGCACTAGCTAGGTACACCAAGGAGAAGGCATGCATAGATGAATAAGATTCAGTGCCCACCCTCCAGACACTTACTGGCTGATAACAGAAGCTGGTATGAAAACAGATCATTTCAATATAATGCAACACATTTTGTGATAGCATTCTCTATAGCTGCGCTGGCCAATATAATAGCCACTACCCGAGTGTGGCCATGGGGCACTTGAAATGTGCTAGTCTGAGCTATGATCTGCTGTGAGTGTAAAATGCACACCAGATTTTGACATTTAGGATGAAAAAATAGCATAAACTAGCTCAATAATCTTTATACTGATTACATATATTGGATTAAATAAAACATTATTAAAATTAATTTCACTTATTTCTTTTTTGACGTGGCTACTAGAAAATCTTAAATTTCATATGTGGTTTGCACTGTATTTCTATTGGACAGCACTGCTCTATAAAATATTGTGGCAGCACAGTTAGAATATATGAATCTACGCTGAGTCTTAAAGAGTGAATAAGAGTGAGCTAAGTATAGAAAGGTGGGAAGGGCATGACTATCCATGTGGATAAGTTAAAATTGGTTCCCTGTCTCACCCCATACACAAAAATTAACTCTAGGTACATTCGAGATTTAAATGTGAGAAATAATTTGGTTTTTAGAACCTTTTTAAATGATATTTTATTTAAACTATTTACTTATTTTCAAATAGGTATTATGTTCAAAATAGGTATTATGGTTCAAAACTCAAAAGCAACAAACGGTATACAGTGAAAAGTCTTCCTCTCGCTCTGACCTCCAGTCACCGGAGTCCACTCCCTGAAGACAGTTGATTGTTAATCTCTTTCCTGTGTATCCTTTCAGAGATGTTTTTAATGCTTCAAAAAGCAAACAGAAACACACATATACAACAGGAAAAATTGTAAATGTTTTAGAAAATTATAGGTGGCTCCCTTTATGATCTCTCGTTAGAAAAGTTTTTTTTTTTTTAAGACAATACACCAAAAGAAGCACAGATTATAAAAGACTTACAAACTTGACGCTACAATTAAAAATTTGTTATCGTGAAAAGATGCTGAAAAACAAAATGAAAAGACAAGACTCACCCTGGGAGAAAATATCTGTAACACAGATAACTGACAAAAACAATTACTAACTGTAATATAGAAAGAACTGCAAATCAATAATAAAAAATCAACAGAAAAATAGTCCCAGGTAGTTCACAGAAGAATCCTAAATGGCCAATAAACTTATGAAAAGATGTTTTATCCTCACCAGTAAGCAAGGGAATGCAAATTTAAATCATAATTGATGAGTGTATTTCAAACTCATCAGATGGGCAATGTTTAAACATCGGACAATATCAAGTGTTGGTGAGTATATGGACAACTGGGATCTTTTATGCCTTGCTGGTGAGAATGTAAACTGATACAACCACTTTGAGAACAATATGGCCACAAATGGTAGTTATACATAACTGTATGTGGCAGCCCTGTGTGTTAAAGATGCATAAGCCCAAACCCACAACTCAGCAATTTCACTCATAAGCATGTGAGCTGAAAAGACCACATATGAGCACATATGTACAAGAATATTTTAGAAGCACTGTTTCTAATAGGAAAAAAAAGGGGGGGAACTCCTTGCATGTCTCTCAATAGGAGACTAGGTAAAGGATGGAAATGTCTATAACCATGAGAAATAATGAAAGGAAGCCACTTAAATCAACATAGATTTATCTCACAACATGGAGTGATACAAATTGCAGAAGAATACAAGCAAGATAATACATTTAAGTAAGACTTAAAAACACACAAAATGATACTATATTACACTTACAGATAAAAACTCATGTGGGGAAAGTAAAAGAAATGCATGAAAATAGTAACCAAATTCAGGATGATGGCTGTGGGGGAGGGGAAGGATTAGGGAAGGGAATGTAGGGCTATCCATATACTGAGAATATTTTTTAAGCTAGGCAATGGCATTATGCAATTTATTTTACCTTTTTGTACATCCCAATTATTTATAATAACTTAAAAAGAAACACCACCTTTCCTCCAACTACTGGGAAAGGAATATGTCCTGCTCCTGCCAAAGGGGCGGGCCCCCTCTGGTGCTCTTCAAAGACTTTGCTCCTGCAGGTGGCTCCTCTCCAGAAGGATTATTCGACAGCCTTCAAACATCCTCTATTACTCCCCTCTTCAAAAACACTTCCTTTATTGTCACATCCCTCATTTCTCGGTTCTCCCTCACAGCCAAGCAAGAAAGAGCCATTTACTCTTGTGTCTACATTGTCTTAGCTCCATTTCCTCCCGACCTCACACGTGCTTCTGTGCCTACCTTTGAAACTACTGTCGCCAAGTTCACAGTGACTTCTGTGTTGACCACCAAATGGACATCTCTGCTCTTGGCAGCAGGCAGTAGAACAGCTTGTTCCTCCTGGACACCTTGACTCTCCACACCCTCTTGTTTTCCTCCTGTCTCATACTGTTGCATCTTTCGGTCTCATTGCTGACTTGATCCGGGGACGCCTTTCTTTCTCCATCTACATCTCCTCTTAGGTGATTTCTGCCAGTTCCATGACTTTAAGTGCACCTTCATGTTCCCAAATATACACTTCTGGCCCTGACCAAGATATCCAATTACCTATTGGACATATCCACATGTCAAACTTATCATCCAAACACGTCTAAGAGCAGAAGCAGGTGCTATTAATTAAGGTGAAACCACAGATATAACTCGAGCTGTCCCAGGCACCCTGGGGCATATGGTCACCCTTTATTAGTGTGGGAATTTAATCATAACACATTTAAAATGGAAATCTCCAATCAATCCTAAAATCTGTCCCTCACTCTGATTCTTGTCTTGGTAAAACCCATTTTCTTAAGACAAAACTCCAGAAACTTGAATGATGAACCCCACCACCTTCCTCGAGCCTTTCTCTTCCCTCATCTCCCTTACTATCTGTCCACAGATTCTATAATATATCTGAGTTCTGACCACTTTCCTCCATTGCCACAGGCAGCACCCCGGGCAAAGCCACCTACATTTTTTGCCTGCTTATCAGTCTCCCCATCCCTTCTAATACCCCTATGAGGCTAAGTGAGCCTCTTAGAGCTTAAATCAGACTATGGTACTCCTCAATTAAAAGCTTTCCACAGTAAATGAATTATTGCCATCCACAACAACACAGACAGACCTCACAAACACGAGGTTGACAAGACACAAGAGAGCATGAACTGTGTGATTCCTTTATATAAAGTTCAAAACCAGAAAAAACAAATCTGTTATTAGAAGTCAGGAGAGTGAGTACTGTTTCTTGATGTGGGTGCTGGTTGCAACAGGAGTTACCGGTTCATGAAAAAAAATTCATTAAGCTTATGCACAGTTATGACTTGTGTAATTTGCATACTATATATCGACACAAAATGTTAACTTGTTTATTGTCTATACCCCTCCACCATCAGATCTAGGCTCTGGGGGTAGGGATCTTGTCTGCTTGCTACATCCCCAGAGCTGGATGGGCTGCTTGGAGGCAGCTGGGAGGCAGCTGGGAGGCGCTTGATAAGGATGCACTAAAGGCAGCCAGACCGGCGGCAGGGAGAACCTAGGAGGCAATGGCAATGACCATCAGAGCGATAACTAGATCCAAACCATGACTAAAGCTGGAATGGAGAGGAGGAGAGAGCTGAGAAAGAGCAAAAAGACGGGAGGTAAGGTTAAGGTGGTGGGCTTGTTGATTTAACTTTCCAATGACTTCTTACCTGTCCTGAGATTAAAACCACAGTCTTTACAGTGGCCCTAAAGCACTACATGATCTGTCCCCACTTCCTCTCTGACCCCTTCCTACGCCTCCCTCCTAACTCCCTCCACTCTAGCCCCTTGGATCTCCTGCTCATCTCGGACCTTCCAACTAGGTTCCCACATCAGAAACTCTGCACTCTCTAGTCCTCTGTCCCTGATGCGTCCCCAGATTTCCCTGGTGCGCACCCTCACCTTCAAGTTTCTGCTCTAATGTCACCGTCTCAGGGAGACCCTTCCTGCTTTATTTCTCACCATAGGTCTTCTCACTCTCTGACATACCATATATTTCACTTGTTTATTTACTACCTATCTCCCCACACCGCTAGTTCGTGAAAAGCAAGATTCCATCCCAGGTACTTGCTTTCAATTACTGCACTTCAGGGCTGCAAGTGGTCACTGCCGCATGGGCAATGGACATCCTGCACTCACAGACAAGGGCCCACCCATGTGGACACCCATGCTGCCCCCAGCCCTATGCCCACAACCACTTTCCCCAAATCCTCAGGCACTGATAGCCTCCAGCTGGAGCCAGCCCCCCGGCTGGCGGGCGCCAGCTCATGGCAGAGGGGCTGGCATGTAATTAGAAACTCCTCAAGCTCCCTAATTGCCAGTTCTTCTCCCAAACCAGGAGTCTGGCGCTATTCTGAGCTGCCCTCACTGCCGACTGCCTGAGGCCTGTAGAGAAGAATAGGCTGAGAACAGAGCCAGGCTGACATGGAGGTGGTCCTAGAAAGGCCTGGAGAGGTCAGGAGACTGCATGGTGGAGAAGGGCTGGTGAGTGGCCAAAGACCAAACGTGGCACAGAGAGGGCTGCTATTCCTTGGGGCCCAGCCTCTTTCTTAGTGCAGTCTGCTCTGTGGCCTCCTCCCTGTCTACCTCCAGCACCCCTGCTCCCACCCATGCCCAGAACAGTGACATCAAAGCAGCCTGTTCATTCTTTATTTAGGTGGCATAAAAATCACTACAAAAACTTTACAAAAGAGCCTTAAGGAGCTAATGCCACCCACCTCAGGCCCTGAGACCCCAGGCAGAGGGGCAAGAGGAGAGAGGAAGGAAGGGGAGTCCTGGCAGTGTCGGCATCTCTAAGGACCATCGAGGAGATTGAGGTGACAGGGCACGAGGGTGGGCTAGAGGCTTGTGGGCCTTGGAGAGCGATGGCAAAGGCAGTTTATGAGGCTACTCAACCTCCAAATGCAGAGCAGTACAAGGCTGAGCCACAGCGTTTAACTAGGGCAGTGCTCTGCTCCAGGGCCATCCCCAGGACCAGTCTCTCCTCTCCCCAGCCAGAGTATCCAGTCCCTCCTGTCCCACTCTCTCTGGTAAACAAACATGGAGTTAACCCCCAGCCAACTTAAGGAATAACTCACCTACCTTCCTCACAAAAGTGGGTCTGCAGCTGCCCCTCCTCCCAGGCCCTCTCACCCCCCAAAGTCCCCAAGAGGAGACAGAGAGAATGGCTCCTCTCTTCTCCCAGACTGCCCACCCAGGCCCCTGCCCCTAATCCCACAAAGCCGTTTGGAAAGAGTCACATGAGTTGAGAGGCTGGTCCAGGCAGGGACTCAGGATGCTGGAGCCCACAGCCCCTCACTTGGGGCTGTTAGGTTGGGGGTAATCCTCCTCTGAGGGGGGTGCCAGTTTCAAGTCAGGGCCGAAGGGCTTGTCTCCACGGGGGAAGGCTTTCTGGTTCTGGAAGGAGTCCCTGTTGTCAGGGGAATCCTGCTGTTCCTTGCGCTCCCGCTGCGCACCAGGGTTGGGGTTCCTCACACTGCCCACAAAGAGGGGCAGGCTCGTGGTATCCTCCAGGATGAAGAAGAGGAAGGGGCGGTTCACACTGAAGGAGGAGAGGGACATGCGGGACATGGCTGAGCTGGTTGCCGCAGCTGCCTCCACGCCAGCCTCACTGAGCTCCATAGTGGACTGATGCTGTACGCTGGACACCACCAAGCTCTGGTCAGAGATCCCACGCAGGTCCGGAGCCTGAAACAACTCCTGCAGACCTGCCCCAGGCAGGAGATGGTTGGTCAGAGCTGCCTTCTGCCTCACAGGATGCCTAGACCTGCCTGGAAGGGTGTCTGGCATCCTGGCCAGGGAACACCTTGAACCCACAGTTCCCTGGTTAACTCCTACTTAACCTTCAAGTATGGGCTTAACGATCACTTCCTCCAGGAAGCCTTTCCTGATCCCCTGCTCCAAGATCCAGACACATGCCTTTGCAATGTTCTCCTGGGTGAACTTGAGAGAAGCCAGTCTTCTCACTTATGCTGAATTGTAAGTTTCTGATTCCTTATCTGCCTACTCCATTGGACCGAGCCCTTTGTACACAGTGGGTTCCCAGTGCCTAGTACAGTGCCCCTTGTAGGAGAGCCAGCAAGGCTCAAGTGCCACCCCAGGCTTTCCACCCAGGATTCTTTGCAATGCTGTCTTGGGCAGAGCAAGTCCTTAATCTTTGGACACCCAGCCCACTCCGAGACAGAGGGTCCAGGGGCTCATTTCAAACCCTCTCACCTCCCTAAGCCTCAGAAAAGCCCAGGACACAGGCTAGCTTTGTCTCAGACTCTCTAACAGCTGGGGGCTTCCTCCTCACCCACCCTGCCCAGCTTGACTTAGGGGGCTGTCCCACACCCAGCCTCCTTACCCAATTGGCTGAGGGTAGCCACCAGGTCCAGCTGATATTTCAGATGTAGCTTAGGCAGCTGGACCTTGGTCGGCCTCTCTCGCAGCAAGGGCTGGTGCAGGATGTCCCAGCTCAAGTTGGCCAGCACCTGGGACACATTCCACTCAAAGTAGGTGGGCACAATGACCACAAAGCTCATATTGTTCTTAAAGGGGAAATGAGCCACCTACAGACAAGGGAAGGAGACAACATGAAGACTAGAAAGCACCCAGACCTAAGCAGGGTCTGGGCCAGCATGCACTTCTGAGACCAATGGACCAAGATTTTCGTCCATCATTCTTAGGTATGAGCTCAGCCTTCCTGAGCCTCCAATTCATCACCTGTGAAGTGGGCTGACATGTAGCCAAAAGAGATAATGCTTTTAAAGCTTCTAACAGAATGTGTACACAGAGACTGTGCTCAATGAATGGTGTTTTTCTCTCTTCATCTACTACCAGATAGCCCTGTGGTTTGGGGTGAAGAATCTCCTGTGTTCTCGTCTCCCTTTCTCCAGATGTACAGTAGACTTGGGTTGTTGGATTTTAAACTGCCCTGGGTTCTGCAGAACAGCCGCTGCAAAGGGTGATACTTTCTTCATCCTTCATCTTCAACAGTAACTTTGACCAGCCATGTGTATTTACTGTGATTTGGGATAAGATTTCATGTGAATGGGGTTTCTGAAGCTAAAGAAGTATGGAAATCACTGAGCTCAGTGGTCCCTTGCAGCTGTAACTCCTCAGGCTCGAGGCAAAGTGCCCAGGTGGCAGGACCCCTGTGGGCAGGAGGAAGAGTGCCTGCATCTGGCTGCCTGAGGCTGCTTGCAGAGTGGCGGAGGAGAGGAAAGGGTAAGGAGCACAAGAAATGGAGACAAAGGGGTGAAGGAAGAGTGGGCAGGACAAAGCCTGGAGGG